GGGGGGGGGGGGGCGGCGGGGCGGGTATACAGGGATGGATCTCAAACATCATAATAGTGTCCTTTCATGCAAACTCCATAGTGGTTCAAAGCCCAAGACAGTCAGTCAGACAGACCTATATTTGAACCTCTGCTCCAACCTTTCTAAATGAACTTGGCTAATGTCTTACCCTCTATGCCTCAGTCTTCTTATCTGTAAAATGAAGCAATAACAGTATCTCACAGTTATGATATTTAAATTAACGCCTGTAAAACGCATCACGTAATGCCTTGTACAAAAGAGTTCAGTAAGTTGTCCTCTCCAATACTGTTTATTTCTGAAAAGCTACCTTTCGCCCTTTTTTCTCAAAGCTACGAACTTATGAAATCGAGGAATTCGAACAGAAAAAATGCAGACAGAATCGGAAGAGAAACGAGTCCGAAAACCCCCTCTTCGTCCCCGGGAGCACAGGGAACTCGAAAGCAAAACCTCGACCTACTTGCTTCCTGCCGCAGTGACTGGAAGAGAAAACACTGACGAGCGTGAGCCGAGATAAACAAACTTGGTGGCGCCGCCCTCGGCTCCGGGACTGGGAAGGCGGCGCTGAGCCTCCGGCCAGGGTGAGCCTGGAAAACCACCCGAACCCCTGCAGACGTCGTTCATTTCCCTCAGCGTCCCCGGTTCCCATGGGAGAGTCTTGAGACGACTCCCTCACCTCCACCAGCCGGCAGCTCCCGGGAACAAAGTGAATGGAGAGCTCCTTCTGCCGCCCCACCATGCCCGCCGTTTTTACGCCGCCGCCACAGCGGCCGCCGAGGTACCTCCTCCAGTCCAGGATCGCCGCGGGCCGCAGATGAGTCGCCCTCGGCCCGCCTCCCCTAGGCCCAGACCGATCCCCGCTCGCTGCTTCCCGCTTCCGCTGCTCTAGCCGAGCCCGTTGATTGGCCACGCTCCGCGGACGCTCCAGAAAGGGGCGGGCATCCGTGGATCGCTCCCAGCCCACGCGCCAACTCTTTAAAGTGATACATAAAACAAAGGCCCTGACCTTAAGGAACGAATACAGGTTTTGTTTGTGTGCTTTTTCTTTTTTCCCTTTTTTCCTTCTTATCCTGGCAAGGATTAAATTGGATCGCCTTGTGTTCAGGTTTGCAGACTGTGCGCAGTGCAGAAGAATCAACTCGGTATGTGATATATGAGCTAGAATAAAACATTTTAGCTATGAGGGGGAGCACAATGGACTTCTCTCTCCTAGAGCATTAGGTGTGGTTTTTGAAAGATTTAGAAAGAGAGAAGGAATGAAAATAAATGTGTTGGCATCTGAGTCATTAACACCTTGGGAACCCGTTTGTCTTTCTGGGATGCTAAAAAATAGTATGTGTGAAATTTCAAAAATGTAAAACTTCTTTTAAATTAAAAAGGGCTGGCTGCCTAGCTCAGTTGGTTAGAGGTGGTACTGATATCACCAGCGTCAGGGGTTTGGATCCTTGTACAGGTCAGTCGCCAAAAGAAAAAAAAAAAGGTGGAAACGCAAATTCCAGAACATAGGAATAAAGAAAATGATAAATAAATATGTAAAAAGATGTCCAAATCACTAATAAGTAATAAAATTGAAATTATGTATATTAAAAAAACAAAACACCTGTACTGGCTAGCCACGCCCCCCCCCAAAAGAAATTCCTGCCTTAAGTCTCAGTTTCCAGTAGTCTTTAAGGCTGCCCTTAGCTCACTTAGTTGGAAAGTTGTCCTGATAACAAACACCGTGGTCAAAAGTTTGGATCCCCTTTCGGGCCAGTCAACAACAACAACAAAAAATTCATACGCCTGTCTGTCACATCTTATTTATTTGGGTACCTCCTCAAAATGCAGATTCTTGGACTTTACCCATAATTACAGAATGTGAAACTGTGACAATAGAATCCGGAACTCTACTTTTTAGTGAACTTAACGGGAGTCAAGACCACCCTCTTTAAGGGGCTGCAGCGTTGGGCTATGCCAGCCGAGCAGAGGCAAACACCGAAAATTAAAGGAACCTAGAGGGAGAGTGTAATGCTGCGCGTTCTACCAGCTGTATCGCTTAAAAAAGAAAAAGGACATCAGAAACAACAGCCCTAAGTGTTAAAGCCGGCCTAGCACCCAACTCCTTTCTCTTCCAGTTTAAAACCGCAAAATGTCCCCCCACTGGCCAGAACGCCAGTGAAATTTAGGCAGGAAAAAAATCCCCAGCGCAGAACTTGTAGGATTCGCCGACTTCTCACCCAACAGTGTTCTTGTCGGAACACCCAGAACAGCAAGAACTACGAATCGCCCACAAACATGACCAGTGCTTGGATTTTTCCTAAGAAAGCCTTATTTTTATAATCCTTTTTGGTATGTTTGAGAACTAAACACTAAGCAGCCTTTTAAAAAAAAAGTTTTTCTACGTCAGAGCCCTTGGACTTTCCTTCCTCCTCAACCCCCAACAATAACTCATTTCCTTATTGATGTACACATAAAAGTTTCTTTGTAACAGTAACCGAAGGTAACCTGAGGTCATCACTTTTCGATTTTTTGTTTTAATCCAGGCTGTTAGTATTCAGCAGTTTAGCATTATTTAGGGAATCCTTGAGAGGACTGTCCCAGCGCTAAACAAGTCTAAGCTGGAGACAACAAAGGGCGAGGGGAGGGCCGGCGGGAGCAGATCCAAGACCCTCTTAATCCTCCTCTCTTAAAAACTAAATTTTGCTTAAAGTTTCTAGTGCAACTAGTGATACAAGCTAATCTCCCTAGGGAAAAAAACGTTCAGGGTTAAACGTGAAAATTTAAGGACATGCAAATACAATTAGCATTTCGATTCTCAGAGCAGCATTGTCTTGAGTGAAGAACAGAAAGTTTACTTGCCTTCATTAAGGTATCTGATTTGATCCTTGCCCTGTAAAAGTTGGGCATAGTTCTAAGGGCATATATTTGGGTATGGTTTTTAAATTCGTTTCCTTAATGATGATATGGTTTATGTGTGAATAGAACGCCATCCTTACACAGACGATAGCCAACCTCGTGTGATGACTAAGTCTACAAATTTAAAGAGAGCACCCTGGAACTAAAAACTTTTAGTTTAGCACATTCAATTCATACAAAGACAAAGAAAGGCGGGAGCACACAACTATAGATAAATCCTTATTTGTATAAAACCCTCGCATATTGCATTTAATCTGGTAAATCAAACTGTTGTTCTGTTTCGCATTTTATTTTTGTCAATTGAGGAGACTTAGCTGAGCACTCCATAACCTAGTTCCCTGGGTGAATAACTCAAGTTGGTTTATTCTTCTATGACCCACTGTTATGATTTAAGGAAATGAATGACGCCCATTTATGTTTTCCTCACACGCCCATTCTGCTTTTAAAGCAGCTCTTACTCCAGAATGCTTCATTTCTTGAATTGCTAACTCTTACCTGTTCCATGTTCTCCGGCATTTCAGGCATGATTCCAAAGTTATTTCAAGAAATACAGACACAGGATAGGTTTCAGCCTCTGCCTCCACTGGCTGGTCTTTGTTTGCTTCTGCCTGCAGAGAGCGCAGGCACGACAAAACGTGAGGCGCAGCTTCGTTTGACCTTTTAAATTAGCATTTTGATTCCAATCCCTGAATCACGTGCAGTTTTCCACATTGCAGTAAGCTGGCAGCTGATTCCCCGTGTAGTCTTGAAAATACCCAATGAGAAGTTTCATGTTTTAATTGCCAGCTAAGCGAAGGTCCATTAGCAACACCATTTGGTTGAACTAACTATTTTTAAAAAACAACAAAAAACCAATAACTTCCTGTCAAGATTTATTGCAATTTTCTCTTGCAGAAAAAAGCAATAGCCAGCAATTGAAAAGCACACCGACCATGCAATGATTCCTGTTATGAAAGATTTTATTCCATTATGCCTTATTGCAACAGAATATGTTTAGTAAAATTCTCCAGTGCTTTTCTACTCAATGGTTTCTTTAAATTACCTACTTCAAAGGACAGCACTGGTGGTAACAGCACACAGAAATTAAAATATGTTGGCTCACTCCATTAGAGTGCGATACTGATAACAAGGTCAAGGGTTAGAATCTTAAAATGGCCAGCTCCCCCCAAAAAAAAGAAAAAAGAAAAGAAATTAAAATGCAACAAGTCATTTCCATTAACATTGTTCTGTCATCTGACAGTATGTGAAAATGGCAGGTGGAGTGTCCTTAGGTTTCACCAAGCATTAAGAACTTATGGATCAGTGATTCCTAAACCAGCCTACACCACAGAACCCATGGAACAAAATCATTGTCTAGGAGTGAAGCCCAGTAGTCTTATTTTTAACAATTTAGAGGGTAGTGAATGTGCTCTAGGAGGCATTCAGAGGGCTATAAATTACGAAGAACTTTCTCTTTTCTTTTTTTTTTTTTTGGTATATGCATTTAAATAAGTATTAAAAATTAGCATTATCAAGATGTAAAAGCTAAAAATATAAAGCTTAGAAGAAAATATGGGGGAATATCTTTATGACCTAAAAGTAAGCAAATATTGCTTAGATACAAGAGAAATCAAAAGTATACAATTTTTAAAAAATTGATATAGTAAAATTCATCAACATTAAAAATTGCTCATCAAAAGGCAACATTAAGAAAATAAGTAAGCAAACCACAGACCAGGAAAAAAAAAAATCTCAAAACACATACCTTAAGAGAACCTACATTCAGAATATTTAAAAAGCTCCTACAAATCGATAAATTGGACAAAAGTTTTTAACAGACACTTAACAAAAGAATATATAAGAATGGTCAATAAGCACACAAAAAGATGCTCAATGTTAGGGAAATGCTACTTAAAACCACATTGTGATACCATCACATACCTCACAGAATGGCTAAAATTAAAAAGACTGACTTAATGATAATATAGGGAAAGCAAAATTTTACCTCAACCCTTTCAGGTTTTTCATCTGGACCTGAGAATTAAACTGGCATAAGATATCAACAGGAGACAAGCATACAAACTTATTTAACACAAATTTTACAAGGCATAGGAGCCTTCATAAGGAAATGAAGACCCAAAGATGTAGTTAGAGTTGAACAATGATATCAGGAATTAGACAAAGATTAGTACGTTGTGAAAAAAAATAACTAAAGTTACGTGGTGAGGCTAGAAGAGTTATTTTAATAAGGTCTGTACAGAATTCTCTTAGCTTCATCTTCCCATCATTGATAAAAATGTTACTTTCCTTCCAGTGTAAGGAAGGCATCTTTCACCTGAAAATTTAATCCCCTGCTTTTAAGAAACAGAAGGAAGTAAGATCAGAGTGATCTTGCATCTGCCCTTTAAGTGCTTTTAATTCAAAATAGTCAATATTCCAATGTGGCATATTTCGGAATGGCATGTTCTTAACTCCTTCACTAACAAGTATTTTGAACAACTACATGCTCACTCAGTGCTAGTGGG